GTGTGTGTGTGTGTGTGTGTGTGTGTGTGTACCGCCCCCTGCAGGATGGAGGATCTGATCCAGTCTAAGCGGAGCTACAATTTAAACTGATAAAAACTGAATTATAACTCTAACCATGTCTCTGATGACTTGACTTTAACCTGATTAGGAATCAACCAATCAGCTGCTCGTGCGTGCAGGTCACACAGATGAAGGTCTCCATCCTCTTCCTCATCCTGATCAGCTGACTCAGCACTTGTGCTTTGTCCGGAGCGCGTGCACAAACCCAGAAATCCCAGCTAAATCCCAGAGAAATCCCAGATAAATCCCAGCTAAATGACAGAATCAGAAGTGGATTCTGCAGCTGGGCAGGACCGGTGTGTGCGCGTGTTTGTGCGGTCCTGCAGCAGGACACAAACACGCGCACAGAGCTGCAGAGCCACCAGGACCGGAGAACCTGACTCACTGATACCGATCCAATCAGCTCTTTGATCACGGATCAATCACTGAGATCAAAGCAGCATCTTTACCTGTCCTCGTGCAGGACGCTCTCCCTCTGTCCTCCTGCCAAACGGCCGCTCCTCTGCATCAGCGAACTAATTTACGTAACTTCCGTGACGTCATGACGCATGGTGAGGAGCCGCTCTGACCGAAAATACTGTGGTTTATTATTATTTATTTTTATTAATGAGGAACTCAGGTGAAATACAGACAATTTATCACATGAATATTTTAAATTAATCATTAATCAACAAATTTTGTCTTTTGTTTTGTTCCTGGATTTAACAGAGTTTCTCAGTTCTTTATTTTTATACAAAATAAAAAATCATGTTGATTCCAAAACTTTGCTTTTGTGATTAATACAATGAGTAAATAACAAATGAGTCTTTCTTTATGTAACACTAGTTATTGATTTTTACGGTTAGGAACTTTGTTAAATTTAGTTTTTAAACAGGATAAAGTTTATACAACACAAAAAAGATCAAATGCACAAAAACTGTTTTACTGCTCATGAAGAGGATATTTTCAGATCAACTAAAATAATAATAATAATAATAATAATACATTTTATTTCAAAGGCGCCTTTCTGACACTCAAGGAC